TAAGGCTATTTATTTCGACCCCTAATTGACTAAATTCTTATGTAGGCCAAGTGTGTTATTTTTAACTGTCGACCTATAACTTGTTGATTCAAACGTGCTTTTTTACACCTGTTTTGCTTGAGGTATGCAGGTCTCCACTATCTAAAAACACAACGCTGTGAGATTGAAATATTCTCTAGTCTGGTAATATACGGCCTTCCACTCTAGCTGATCACTAATATACGGTCCCCCACCCTATCATAGCTGATCACTACTATACGGCCCCTCGACTCTAGCTGATCACTACTATACGGCCCCTCGACTCTAGCTGATCACTACTATACGGCCCCTCGACTCTAGCTGATCACTACTATACGGCCCCTCGACTCTAGCTGATCACTACTATACGGCCCCTCGACTCTAGCTGATCACTACTATACGGCCCCTCGACTCTGGCTGATCACTACTATACGGCCCCTCGACTCTAGCTGATCACTGCTATACGGCCCCTCGACTCTAGCTGATCACTACTATACGGCCCCTCGACTCTAGCCGATCACTGCTATACGGCCCCTGGACTCTAGCTGATCACTACTATACGGCCCCTCGACTCTAGCCGATCACTACTATACGGCCCCTCGACTCTAGCCGATCACTACTATACGGCCCCTCGACTCTAGCTGATCACTACTATACGGCCCCTCGACTCTAGCTGATCCCTCGACTCTAGCTGATAACTACTATACGGCCCCTCGACTCTAGCTGATCACTACTATACGGCCCCTCGACTCTAGCTGATCACTACTGTACGGCCCATTCACCCTGTGATAGCTGCTCACACATTGATGTCAACAATCGCCCTAGGGCCTAGGGGGGTGTTGCTAAAAGAAAACGAAATGTGTAACGGTTAGTCACTAAAAACAAGGGAGGTAATTACAAAGAAATGATAAAATACGAAGATAAACTGAATTATTTCCCTTTGCATATAAGCTACACAGACAATGCCATTATGTTGAAAATAAACATTTCCAAGTTAACAAAAATCACCAATCATTTGTATAAGATACTAGTAAAGAAAACAATAACACAGTCCTTGGCCTACAACATGAAGATTGTTGATTGGGCACCACAAACCCCACACAGTGATTGTAGGCCCACACAGTGATTGTAGGACAACGCAGTGATTGTAGGACAACGCAGTGATTGTAGGGCCACACGATGAATGTAGACTCACACAGTGATTGTAGGACCATACAGTGATTGTAGGCCCACACAGTGATTGTAGGACCATACAGTGATTGTAGTGATTGTAGGGCCACACGATGAATGTAGACTCACACAATGATTGTAGGACAACACGGCGATTGTAGGACTATTCGCCCAGGCATCGTTTCAAATTTAATTTGTTAAAATCGATTTTCACCGAGAAAATCAAGATGTTATTTTTGACCGTCTATTTGCGACACTAACTTCTGACCCTCCATTTTCTAGCACTGGCTCGTGCGATGCTATTAAAACATTTTTTTTTCTAAAATACTCGGAATATTTCTAATGTTTTAAATACATTATTTTTTGCTTCATTAAAAGTTATCATCGATTAAATAAAAACATAATTTTAAAATTTTAATCACGAGTTTAATTATTAAAACTAATAACGATCCTATTGTGAAGATTTTTTGTTTTGTTTCAAATTTGCGTCATGACGCTAAGGCGCGCGTCAATTAACACAAATAAACATTTGTTTACTCCAGGGATTAACAATTAAAGCTAATTGGACGATAAAGAAAAATTAATTGGTTTGTCCTGGAAACGATGAAAACAGAAAAAAAAGCAGATTACTCTACATTGCCATCATTGTAACACTAAACAAACTACCCTACATCATTGTAACACTAAACAACCCTACATCATTGTAGCACTAAACAAACTACCCTATATCATTGTAACACTAAACAACCCTACATCATTGTAACACTAAACAAACTACCCTACATCATTGTAGCACTAAACAAACTACCCTACATCATTGTAACACTAAACAAACTACCCTACATCATTGTAACACTAAACAACCCTACATCATTGTAACACTAAACAAACTACCCTACATCATTGTAACACTAAACAAACTACCCTATATCATTGTAGCACTAAACAAACTACCCTACATCATTGTAACACTAAACAAACTACCCTACATCATTGTAGCACTAAACAAACTACCCTATATCATTGTAGCACTTACCTACCCTACATCATTATAGCACTAAACAAACTACCCTACATCATTGTAACACTAAACAAACTACATTGCCGTGAATGTAATACAAAATTATCCTCATTGCCGTGAATGTAATACAAAATTATCCTACATTAAAGTGAATGTTGGCATGCTACATTACAATACGAAAGAAGTTTTAAGCTTACTTTTTTAGTGAGTCATAACCTAGTAGAAATATTTTTAATGGCGTCCAAAATGTATAGTCGTAATGTGATTTAGTCCATTCCTACCCTCATAGCCTGGCTGACCATGGGGAAAAAAAGGATAATATGGTCAGCACTGTGGTCAGCACGGGTCTAGGACATAACCAGCCCCCCTTCAATTACCCCCCCCCCCCCCCAGACATTCCCCCCACCCACCCACCCAGTCGCCCTTACTTTCGTAACGTGAGTCAGGTACCCATCAGGGTAGGGTGAACCCTACGGATTCGAACCCGGGACCCGATGTTGAGACTTAAGGGCCGGCAGTCGTGTGCTCTGCCATCAGATACATTTTGAAACCGTTGGTCATCTTCGTTCATCATGGATGAAACCAATGAACAACAAAAATTACTGGAACTGACCAAATTCCACCCACCCCCACCCCTTTACTTGAAACCTGACTTACCTAGCCCCCCCCCCCCCCCCCCCCCCGACAACCATATGAAGATATGTGGTTAATTAATCAGCAATCAACGAGCGTGTCTAACTCACGGTCTTGTGCAGCAAGCAACCATTGAACCGTGACCTGTGGTTAGACTCACGTGCACGCTGATTAGACTCATTTAGTAACATCATAATTTTACCGGAATCGTAGCTTCAACCTTGTGATACTAAATGTCACGTGACATTTAAGACACAAAGTGTCACGTGCCATTAAGACATATTGTGTCATATGCCATTTGTCTGTTTGTCTGTCTTTCCATCTCTCCGTCCGTCTGTCTGTCCGTCTTTCCATCTGTCCGTCCGTCTACAGTCGTGTGTGTATAGGGGGGGGGGGGTGTGACCAAGTTGAGTACACGCTTTTTAAACTGCAGACCTAACAATTATCCATTAACGTTAGACAAGAATATATTGATCACCAACAAACCAGAGACCAAAGCAAGACACCAACTCAAATTGACTGGGCTTGGTACTGTCTGATGTTTCATTAGACGTGGTTCTGTTTTCACCCTCGCCACACTGGGCTTGGTACTGTCTGATGTTTCATTAGACGTGGTTCTGTTTTCACCCTCGCCACACTGGGCTTGGTACTGTCTGATGTTTCATGAGACTTGGTACTGTCTGATGTTTCATGAGACTTGGTTCTGTCCACGCCACGACAGACGGAGCGAGCGGCTCGCGAGATGGGTCAGACCAGTGCTGGGACACGGGTGGTGGTGCCGGAGGGGGGGGGGGGAGGGTGGCAGCACGAGGGTAGTCCCGTAGTGCAGGGCAGTGACAGGGTGCCGGTGACAGGACAGTACCGGAGGGCAGGACACTGCCAGTGATAGGACAGTGCCGGTGCCACCGTTGTGCCATTGACAGGGCAGAAACACACACCAAGTCTAACAGCTGGAGCTTATTCGTACAGCAGGGTAACATTAGTTTCAGTTTTAATTTAACTCTAAATTTTCAGTTTTAATTTAACTCTAAATTTTCAGTTTTAATTTAACTCTAAATTTTCAGTTTTAATTTAACTCTAAATTTTTAGTTGTAACTTAACTCTAAATTTTTAGTTTTAACTGAACTCTAAATTTTTAGTTTTAACTGAACTCTAAATTTTTAGTTTTAACTGAACTCTAAATTTTTGGTTTTAACTGAACTCTAAATTTTTAGTTTTAACTGAACTCTAAATTTTCAGTTTTAACTGAACTCTAATTTTTCAGTTTTAATTGAACTCTAAATTTTCAGTTTTAACTGAACTCTAAATTTTCAGTTTTAATTTAACTCTAAATTTTCAGTTTTAATTGAACTGTAAATTTTCAGTTTTAATTTAACTCTAAATTTTTACTTTTAACTTAACTCTAAATTTAACTTTAAACTTTAACTCTGTACAAGCAACTGTCATCTCACGGCTGTCATCTCACGGCTGTCATCTCACGGCTGTCATCTCACGGCTGTCTTCTCACGGCTGTCATCTCACGGCTGTCATCTCACGGCTGTCATCTCACAGCTGTCATCGCACGGCTGTCATCGCACGGCTGTCATCGCACGGCTGTCATCTCACGGCTGTCATCTCACGGCTGTCATCTCACGGCTGTCACCTCACAGCTGCCATCTCACGGCTGTCATATCACGGCTGTCATCTCACGGCTGTCATCTCACGGCTGTCATCTCACAGGTTATGTTCAGTCAATTAGAACTTAAAACATCTCCATGTTTTGTAACATGCAATACATAAAACATCTGTATTTTTATAACATGTAATGCATAAAACATCTGTATTTTTCATAACATGTAATATATAAAACATCTGTATTTTTTATAACATGTAATACATAAAACATCTGCACTTTTTCTACTGTATAGAAGACAAAACTAAAACGACCCTCAAACAGCTTTACATTAACTTATGACATTAGTGGCTTGAAGGGCCACAATATTTTAGGTTTAGCAAATATATATATAAAATTATGTTTTTAAATAATATTTAAATAATTATATAATTTGTCTTTACGCAAGCGTGTCATTTTATTGTAGATACGTTTCCGCGCACAGTGTTATGTGGCAACTCAAGCAGCGGTATGAAAATCTTTCTGGCTGATTTCTCTGGCCACACCATGCCGCACCTGAATGAAAGCGTCCTGCTGACCGACCAGCAGCGGACGATCATCGAGGTGGTCAACTACGTCTTCATCTGCGGGGGCTTGTCGCTGTTCGGGATCGTGGCTAACGCCATCAACATCGCCATTTTCTTCCGGCAGGGCCTGAGGACCACCATGAACATCAGCTTCTTCGGGTTGGCCATCTCCGACCTCTGCAGCCTGCTCACGCTGCTCGCCTTCACCGTCCTGCTCAACCCGCTGGTCGAACACTCACAACTTCCGGTCAACACGAGGGAGCTGCAGTACCTGGTGGCGGGCTGGCCCCACGTCTGCTTCACCAGGACCACCTGTCTGATCACGGCCTTCGTCACGGCCGAGCGGTGTCTCTGCATCACCTACCCGCTCAAGGTCAAACGCCTCATCACGCCCAGGCGAGCCACCCTCGCCGTCTGCCTGACCTACGTCATCACGATCCTGATGCTTGTCCCCGAATACGTCACTTCCTACTACGACTGGAAACTTCACCCCGAAACAAACGTAACTCTGTTCGGCCTTGCTTTCACGGAGGACCGCGCGCGGATGGAGGGCCTTGTGTTCATCCTCAACGCCTCCATGGGGGTCTTCTCCTTCCTGCTCGTCCTCGCCTTCACCGCCATCTTGGTCTGGAACCTGAAACACACGTCCAGGTGGCGCAAACAGCACCACAGCGACCCCCGCGACTCGACCTACGCCCGCAGCAAGAAGGCCATGAGCATGGTGCTCGTCATCTCCAGTGTTCTCATCGTCTGCTCCATCCCCAGCATCGCCTGCTCCATCGTCGCCTTCTTCGTCCAGGAGTTTAGCGTGCTGGGGCGCTACCAGAACATCTTCTACTCGGCCTGGTCCTTCTCCTTCATCTGTGGCGCCACCAACGCCAGCCTCAACATCTTCCTCTACTACAGGATGAGCTCCAAGTACCGCCGCAGCTTCCGGCAAATGTTCGCCAGATTTTCTAGAACTTTCGGCTGGGAGAGCAGCGAGGAGACGTGGAACTCGACGAGCGTGGGGCTGATGGGCAGGAGACACAGGAAGACGGTGGGTGACTACAGCACGGGAGGGGCCGCCGTCACACGATACGGCTGGCGGGAGGACTACTGGCGGGGGGACCTTCCGTCCTACTCGGTCACTAACAGTTTCAACAACAACTCAGCGGAGCCCGTGCAGGATGGCGCGGGTTCAAATCCAATTGAGCGGGTCTATTGAAACAGTTGTTAAACTTTGCTAGTTGTACGCGTTGTTTGGTATGATGACGTCAAGCGAATGCCAAGGGGGATAACCTACAGTTACCCTAATTCTATTGTACAACTCACTAGAGCAGCTGTCACTCGACGCTTAAGCTTACAGTGAACTTACACTACATACAATCAAACTCTCATATTGAAAGCTGCATTCAGATCTGATATATGTCAGATGACCCAATGTCATCATGTCATCCGATTTTTATGACATCCATTCATTCGTTATTGTCAATTCTTAAACGTGTAAAAAAAATGTCGAACTAATTGCTTCTTTACTACCTGTTTGCAACATGTTTGCTAATTACATGTTTTCTAATTACATGTCTGCTAATTACATGTTTGCTAATTACATGTTTGCTAATTACATGTTTGCTAATTACATGTTTGCTTATTACATGTTTGCTTATTACATGTTTGCTAATTACATATTTGCTTATTACATGTTTGCTAATTCTATGTTTGCTAATTATACGTTTGCTAATTACATGTTTGTGACTACATGTTTGTAATTACCTGTTTCCTAACTACATTACTGTTACTAACCTAGCTATAACTTGTTTGCTAACTAGCTGTTTGCAACTTGCTATTTGTCAGGTGTAATCAATGTAATTAAAAGTTTGCAAGAAATTATAATGTTGGCTTTATCCAAACAATCAATCGTCGACCATTCGATCATTTATCGATCTAACACCTAATCAATCGTTGACCAACGTGACTCTACTGACTCACAACGTGACACTACTGGCCCACAACGTGACACTACTGGCCAACAACGTGACACTACTGGCCCATAACGTGACACTACTGACCCACAACGTGACACTATTGATCCACAACGTGACACTACCGACCCACAACGTGACTCTACTGACCCACAACGTGACACTACTGACTCACAACGTGACACTACTGACCCACAACGTGACACTACAGGTCAACAACGTGACACTACTGACCCACAACGTGACACTACTGATCAACAACGTGACACTACTGACCCACAACGTGACACTACTGACCCACAACGTGACACTACTAGCCCACAACGTGACACTACTGGCCCACAACGTGACACTACCGACCCACAACGTGACACTACTGACCCACAACGTGACACTACTGACTCACAACGTGACACTACTGACCCACAACGTGACACTACAGGTCAACAACGTGACACTACTGACCAACAACGTGACACTACTGGTCAACAACGTGACACTACTGGTCAACAACGTGACACTACTGACCCACAACGTGACACTACTGACCCACAACGTGACACTACTGACCCACAACGTGACACTACTGACCCACAACGTGACACTACTGACCCACAACGTGACACTACTGGCCCACAACGTGACACTACTGACCCACAACGTGACACTACTGGTCAACAACGTGACACTACTGACCCACAACGTGACACTACTGACCCACAACGTGACACTACTGGCCCACAACGTGACACTACAGGTCAACAACGTGACACTACTGGCCCACAACGTGGCACAACTGGTCTAACTTTGAACATATGTTTGTCACTGTGTATCAGATCTTCCTTCTGACAAAACAACATTCGATTCTTTTTTTAGATCAAATGACTGAATTAAGGTCAGTAAGTATAACAATGCCACGGTTTATTTAGCATCATTACGGTAGTTTAACAACTAATCAATCTTTCAATGTTTTAGTCAGTTGATCGGAAAAACTAATTACACAATAACAAGTAAGTTTACAAGAAAACAAATGACATCATAATATTCATAACAAGACAAGTTTACATGAAAACAAATGACATCTTAACAATATAAGTTTACAAGAAAACAAATGACATCTTAACAAGACAAGTTTACAAGAAAACAAATGACATCTTAACAAGACAAGTTTACAAGAAAACAAATGACATCATAATATTCATAACAAGACAAGTTTACAAGAAAACAAATGACATCTTAACAAGACAAGTTTACAAGAAAACAAATGACATCTTAACAAGACAAGTTTACAAGAAAACAAATGACATCATAACAAGACAAGTTTACAAGAAAACAAATTACATTAAAACAAGACAAGTTTACAAGAAAACAAATGACATCTTAACAAGACAAGTTTACAAGAAAACAAATGACATCTTAACAAGACAAGTTTACAAGAAAACAAATGACATCATAACAAGACAAGTTTACAAGAAAACAAATTACATTAAAACAAGACAAGTTTACAAGAAAACAAATGACATCTTAACAAGACAAGTTTACAAGAAAACAAATGACATCTTAACAAGACAAGTTTACAAGAAAACAAATGACATCCTAACAAGACAAGTTTACAAGAAAACAAATGACATTTTAACAAGACAAGTTTACAAGAAAACAAATGACATCTTAACAAGACAAGTTTACAAGAAAACAAATGACATAGTAACAAGACAATTTTACAAGAAAACAAATGACATCATAACAAGACAAGTTTACAAGAATACAAATGACATCAAAACAAGACAAGTTTACAAGAATACAAATGACATCTTAACAAGACAAGTTTACAAGAATACAAATGACATCTTAACAAGACAAGTTTACAAGAAAACAAATGACATCCTAACAAGACAAGTTTACAAGAAAACAAATGACATCTTAACAACACAAATTTACAAGAAAACAAATGACTTCTTAACAAGACAAGTTTACAAGAAAACAAATGACATCAAAACAAGACAAGTTAAGAAGAAAACAAATGACATCAAAACAAGACAAGTTTACAAGAAAACAAATGACATCCTAACAAGACAACTTTACAAGAAAACAAATGACATCAAAACAAGACAAGTTTAATTACAAGATAACCAATGCACAATGAGGGCCGTGTTAACGGGAGCCATTTTTCGAGGGCTCAGAAATCAGGTCCGTCGTAGACGCCCCTAAAAGAAGATCCACAAGTGACCTCGATGTGCGGACAAAAAAATAAAAAGTTGTGCATTTTTTGTGTCTTTAACTGTATCAATGTAAGTTGTGAGAAAGTAAATTGAGGTAAATTTCTTCTGGCCAAACGGGGTGGTAGTGGGGGGGGGGGGGGGCTTCTGTACAAAATGGCAAAATATGAGAGGGTTAAAACACATAGAGTTCCCCGTTTAAAACTAACGATTCTAAATTAAACATTGTTTGTGTGAGTTAATGTAAGAGTAGTAAGACAATGTAAGCTATACAAAGTAAGGGATGTTTGGGGGGGGGGGGGGTCGTTGCTGCTAAGTGAAAAATTAGGTCAACAACAATCACATTCTGACTGTACTCTAGCCAGCGGCTGAAGATTTGACAGTCAATGTCAAGTCATCTGGTCAATTAACTGGCACTGTCAAGGAGACTGTCGTGGTGATGTTTTTGGGTCTCTGTCCATTGGTTGCACACAGAGGATCGAGTACCACAATATGATCACGTGACCCTTGTCGACATTTGCAATATATCAGGTGACAGGCGTAAATTTTTGTCCCCAAAATGTCAAGTATGCGACAATTGTCAAGTATTAGACCTAGTTTCCCCCCCCCCCCCCCCCCCCCCCCCCCCGTATGTCAGATGTGAGAACCTTTCAGACCTGCTTTGTTGACCCCGACAGATCAGCACTCTAGACATATCAACGGGATAAGCTTAGCATTGGGTATTGAAATGTTCAGATTTAAACCTTCAAACAACAGAGATTTGCATGGACCATAAGCTGGACAAATGAAACCATCCATTTGTTTAGTTTCTACTTGGTGCTGACAGCCTGTCCGCGAACATTGAAACAGCGTCCAGTGGCTTGTGATGGTTCGTTGTTTTTTGTGGTTGTTGTTGTTGTCTCCGAGCCTCTCATTGGTCAACGTTGGCTCGTGCTACGGCGCGTGACGTAGCACGTGATCCGTTTCTTTTGTCATCTCCAAAATAAGAATTGTTTTTAATCAGCTGGAGAATGAACCGTGTACTTTAGTGGTGTGGCGTTGAGACTCCATTAGCCGCCCCAAGTGATCAGCCAATTGTTGTTCTAAATTTAGATCCAGTGCCTCATTTGTTTCATCCTGTACTTTAGAAATGAAGAGCTCTGATTTATTAACTGCGAGGAAAACATTTTTCATCGTTTAAAAATATTTGTGAATGAGCCGAGAGAAAATAGCGTCAGACAAAAGATCGGAAACACCGGGAGGCTGTCAACAGCCAGTAATGACCAAGTCATTCATTTAATACACGTCCGGCTAGACCGGCCATTCAAATATTCCAGCCAGTAATGACCAAGTCATTCATTTAATACACGTCCGGCTAGACCGGTCATTCAAATATTCCAGCCAGTAATGACCAAGTCATTCATTTAATACACGTCCGGCTAGACCGGTCATTCAAATATATTTGGCGGCGGCTGACTAGACAGCGAGGGGGCGGTGGGGGGGGGGGGGGGGGGGGGGGGGGGGTTACAAATACAAAGAGATACAGATTAGTGTTTTTTCTAAATGCAGTCAATGTGTAGTAAATGTCGTAGTTAATGAAGTCATGGGTCTTTTTGTCGTGAGTCCTGTTGTCGGTTGCTATTTAGTTTAGAGCTCCTTTTTGAGGGCTATTTTAACTAAGTAAAGGAGGGGCGGTAATTTAGCTGATCTGGCAACAATATAGCCCCGTCTAAGTAAAGGAGGGGCGATAATCAGAGTTTCTTCCAGGCATTTATTCTGTGGGGTGCCCCCCCCCCTCCCGAAGAAGGTCTACCGCCCCCGAACAAAATGGAATTTATATAGAAAACATAATGTTACTAGTGTCCTGTCCCCCCGGAAAATGTTGACCCCCCCCCCCAACCCCCGAAAATTTCAAGTGCCCCCCCCCCCCCCCGGAGAAAAAAGTCTGGAAGAAACACTGGGGGTAATCTGAGGACCGCTGACATCAATCAGCATTAACCTTGATGTTGCCATTATCCTGAGATTATCCGTGATCTTCTGTAGCACCT